ACTTTGTGTTTTTGAAACCATTAGTGAAAAGGCCAGACTTCAGGGGTATCTGAGGCAGGCTTGAAACACAAGAGTCAGGGTGGCTTCTGGGTAATACCAGATGGCTAGGCCTCAGACTGACGAAGCCTCTTGGATGAGGGGTGAAACGTTTCTTTTTAAACAAAAAAACGAAGTCCAGATGACATGATTCAACCTTTTTTGTTTATATTCATATTGTTATAAACTGGTTCTGCTCTCACCCTGCTCTCCTTCAGTTTGTCATCTTCTGCAACAGCTGGGATGATTTTCAGTGTGATGGAGCCTTGTGACTGAGACTGATGAAGAAAAATCATCATCAGTATGTTTTTACTCACCATCAGCAGCATAAACACGATGGAATTACACGACCTCACTCGACAAGCTGTCTTCTTCTTACCAGAATCTGACTGATCTCATCAGGTCTTTTGTGAGTTATCAGGTTCCCGTTAACTTCTCGAAGCTCATCTCCTACATGCACCAAACCTGGAAACAACACAAGCAGGGACACAGATTAATCAGGCGATATTTGTCACTTGTCATGCCTGTGCGTACTCCACAATTAACCAACAGGCAAGATGATGATGCAGCAGCAATATGCTCTTAATATAAAATAAACAATTATATAATTATATTTTAGTTTTTAAGTGTCAAGTTCTTCTAAGGGTTGTGAAATGCACGTTTACTTAGATTAAGCAGTTATATTAGTGTTAAATAGAAACTACAAACTGGCTAGAAAAACAAACTGGTGAATTTGAGCCATTGACTGCCTCTAGTTAACCTCGAACAAGCAACTGAACAAAACAAACGTGTGTTTGTGTGTGTGTGCGTACGCAAGGATGAGGGTTTTTTTCATATAAAGTCAGTAATGAGCCAAAAAGTAATAATTTCCCCACTGGCAACATGTCAACAATATCTCCATGGAAACAGCAAGTCATTTGTAATCTCAAAATATGCTATTTTGTAACAGTAATCCCAAGGATTTGAAGTCTGATGACAGTTCACGGGGGGGCACTCAGTTTAATCTCCTCACTCCTCTGTCTGTGTTTCAGCTTGGATAAGATGGACGTCTGGCGTATAAAAGATTACTGTACTTTGTAGGAGGTTTAGGATTATTTACATATGGCCCCCCCTTGCAGCAGATGTAATCATCCATGTTCATTTTCCTCCACAAAACTAAAAAGGACTGAACAGACTACAATAACAGAGCACTCACCACTGCGGTCAGCTGCCCCTCCCCTCATGATTCTGGCCACAATCACAGCTCCTGTGGCCTCGTCTCTGCGAATAGTTGCTCCCTGATGAAAAAGACCGCAGATTTTCAGACACGTGATTTTCAGTTCAGTGAGCCGAGACAGATCTACGACAGTCTAGTTAAACTGTTACAAGCATGAGGTTTATTTTCAAAAATCAAGTTTCTATGAAAGTAAATATCAAAATGCTACATCAGCTAGGCCTGTCAGGATAATAAATTTTGCTGGGCGATTAATCGTCTCAGAAATCATTGCGATAAACGATAATATTGTTTGAAATTTGACAATCAGTAATTAGTCAAATTTAAGGAAAAAAGTTTAATTTGTTTTGCATGTAGTCCCTTTTTTCGACCACCGGATGACGGTATAAGACTGTTTGAACCGAAGGATGGATAGTGAGGGAGCAGCAGGTCTCTAAGAAAAATGGGAGGGAGACCCCTTGACGTGACATGGGCGGTCTCTCCTTCCTTTTGTCGGTTCTCAAATTGGCGGGTGCTCTGTGTGGTTTGAGCTCCATCATAGCATTTGTCACACAAAGCTTTTAATAATAATAATAAAAATAATAAAAATCAGTAAACAAGTTCTCAGCTTATTTTTGCAGAGAAAAATGACTTTTTACACGAAGGCACGGGTTTCAACCGTGAATTTTGGAGCTTCGACAAGACGGAGGTTTGAAAATGAGGTCGATAATTTTCATTTATCATGTGATTAATTGATTTATTGTTTATCGTGACAGGCCTAACATCAACAGAAGAGCTGATGGTACAGTTTCCAAACTGTGCGCTTTTACCGGCTGTTCAGACCTTGAACTTCAGATCAGTTTTTATCCGTTTCAGTATCCAAACTCTGCAAAGTTCACACCTTGTTAATAAGCGATAAGCCGGTGTCCCTCTTTGCTGATAAGACTTGAATGGTGAATGTTAGTTTTTGAGATTAGTGTATTTCTGGACTGGAATTGAACAGGGAATGGAAGTAAACCTCAATGTTTTTTATGCATGTGTGCAAGAGTTGCAATGTGTATGAAGAATGCGTTTTTCTTTCGCTTGTTCGTGGCAGTCCAGAGTGCTGGACCCTGATGAGTGGTGGAGCAATTTTATCCACCACCAGACACAACGGCAGAGCCAGGGGGTGGTTAATGGTGGCCATGGCCATCATAGATTAACCTTCAGCCACCCCATCAGCTACCACAGTCATTTGAGGAAACTACACTTTTAAGCAATATAAAAACTAGAAAGCATAGTTTCCTCAAATGTTAGAGGTGGCTGGTTTACATACATACAATGGTGGTAGCATCTCCAATTTGGAGCCAATTTTGACGGTGACCTTTCTAACATCTAGATGCAGTCGCACACCAAAATCAAAGTTGGCACATTGTTTATTTTACAAGTTACCCAGCTCACGAGGTTTACATACGTATATGGCAGCAGCCATCTTGGATTTTGACACTGCAACCCAATTTTCAAACCCAGATGTAGCCATACACCAAAATGCAAATCAGTTCTTCATTTTTGTTCCAAGTTCTCATGCTTACAACATGCATGAATGGACGGAGGGGATTTCCACATCACCCTCATAGCTCCGTGATGGGAGACAATGTGTACCCAGAAAGTTTTTGCGATTGGGTGTCAATTACTCACTCCATGTGCAGAAACACACACAGAGGTGTCAGTGAGCATCAAACATCACCATCACATCAGCTGACGTTTCTGTGAAAATCTAAAAGTCTTCAGAAATCTAACTACATTACTTGACATTAATACAAATCTGAGACATTTGAGTCAAACTTTTGTAGACATTTCTTGTTGGCCTAATTATCCCACAGATATAAAAGAAATAAAGGAGCATCCAATGATTAGTGACTTCAGAGCTTAGTGTGGAGGAAAGGCTGTAAAAATCCGAGGTGTGCCGACAGCGAACTTACACAGCTTCACTGTGAACATAGTGCTGAGTTTACTGAGGTGAATATAATGTGACATAATGCTGCTCACACGGTTCTGTGGTTGAAACAGGTCATTTTAGCAAACACTGATCACAGTGAGTTCAACCAGCTCTAAAACAATCAGAGCCAACAAACGAAAAGAAAAAAAAAAAAAAAATCAGAAAAATCCCAAGGATTTTGGTCTAATTGTCATAAGTCAACCAGCAGCTGAGCAGAGAAAAGACATTTGGGCAGCTGTGGCTGAGTGGTTAGAGCAGTCGTCCTCCAAGGCAAGAGTTGGGGGTTCGAATCCACAAGCAGTCACATGCCGAAGTTATCCCACCACGCAGCAGATTATGCTGCGATATTCAAGTTGTAAAGGGTGAAGGCATGAACAAAACCATCTGAGCTGAGCGCTGTTTGTCCCAACAGCTTTTGAGCCAGTCAGCGTGAGAGAAGACGTTGCTTTTAGACTTTTAGCTAGCGCACTACTAACGGAGTTACGTCAGTGCAGGCAGGTGGGGCGGGGGTGCGCGCAGCTCGGTTCGGTAGACCGTGCGCTCGGTTCTGTTGACGCGGTGGGGCACCCCGCTTGTATAATGGCAGGGAAAACACTGAATGCATCAACCACCAATTTATGGTCGAGTCTGAGCGCGGAGCCTCACCTGAGTCTGACTGCACCAACAGAGACTGGGAGCTGGGCAGATCAAACCTCGAGACCAGCTGAGGATCAGGAAACTGGCTGATGGTTCTGATCAGCTGTCCTTTCAGGCAGCGTTTCATTTGTTTTCAGCATTTGTCACAAGTTTTGGAAGTTATAGCTCATTTAAAGGCAACCTGTTTTTTTCTTCTAGGTTACATTTATGCAGATCTTAAGCTTTAATTTTATTTAGTTTATTTGGAAACTGCACCTGCACTTTAGTTTTTCTGGTGGATTTTGTTGATCTATATTTGGTGCTGACTTTTTATATCTAAATAACAGAAGGATCATTTAATTTTTTTTATTTTTTTTAATACTTTGAGACTAAATACTTTACTAAAAGTAATTGCAGTAAAATTGACCCTTGTTTTTGTTTGTTTGTTTGTTTTTATATAATACTACAAAGCAACATGTTAATTTTGTCAAATGAATAACTGATTTGTCTTTTTTTGTTGTCGTTATATCACAAAATGTATCGTTATCGTCAGAATGCTCTGAAATATCACAATATTACATTTGAGCCATATCGCCCACCCCTAGCACAGATTGTGGTGTAAAGCGCTTCAATTATCTCAGTAAAATAGAAAGGCGCTATACAAGTACAGTCCATTACATTTGGTCAAGCTTGAGTACTTCGTAGCCTAAAATATTAGGAATCATATTGGGGCAACAACCACAAGACAGTAAAAGCTGTTGTAGTTATATATCATTTATCTTGGTGGGAGACAAAGAATAAAATATTTAGATTGAAAATTTTTAGGGATGGCTACGCATCTCTAGAATATTTACAATGAAAATTAGGAAATTACTGTCAAACAGAATAAGAACAGATTTTCTTTAAATTTTGGTAAAATACTGAACATGCTTAATGAACGTTCCACTGCTCATGTAAATCTGCACTATAATAAACTAACATAAGGGAAAGAATGCTGGGGACTCACCAGAGGTTCCTTGTTCTTAACCAGGCGGACGATCTTCACTGACTCTTCATCAAAGTCATCGTCCAAATCTTCCGGCAGGGGTGGAAGCACCGGGTCAAACTTCTTCTGGGCCACAATGTCATGAGCTGACAGAACTGCCTGCACGACACAAACACCAATACTTAAGAGAGATGCACAATATTGGATTTTTGGCTGATATCCGATATGCAGATATGTTAAAACTTATTTGGCTGATAACCGATACCAGTACAGATATTTTTTTTCCCCTAGACCTACTTACAGAAGCTACATAGCTTTCTCTGCTGTGGAATTAAAATACTACATTATTCTACATGATCTTGATCTTTGTCAGTTTGGCCTGCTGCCAAATGCGGTTGCCAAAAAGGGGACTGAAAATGATGCAACTCTTCAACTTGGATTATGTTTAATGTCAAATTTATTCATGGCATTTACTCTCTCTAACACAATGACAACACTCGAATAGTGCAAATTTGTAATTTTCACAAATCTAAACTCAACCTGTTCACAAACAAGTGAAAAGTGCATAATTAATAGATATACTTGACAGTTTCTCAAATTAAAAATTAACTTAAAACAGAAGCCTTTTATATCGGTGAGTTATTTTGATGGAATGGCCAACGTTCAATATTTAACTGTATCTCCAATATCAGCCGATACCAATACCATGCTGATAATATCGTGCATCCCTAATACTTAATGTACCAAAGCCTGAGCAACAACAAAACATATTAAGATAAAAACGTGAAGAAAAGTCAGAAACATAAATATTTAATCTGTTGCTCCTGTTTCAGTTATTTTTCCTCCAAGAAAAGCGTTCCGCTGTGCAAAAATCACTGGATCAGAGTAAAACAAATGGTCTTGTCTGCGTCCAGGTGATGGAGGTGGTGGTGTGGGGGGAAGCCTGCTCTGATGCTGGGTTATGTAATCAATGTTCCACTGGAGGAAAATTAGAGCAGCTCAGAGTGAGAAATCAATAAGTATTACCATCCAAGAGATCAACTACCAGAAGAAATATTACATCTAAACGACAAGAACCGTTTTCAGCCAACTTTGTCCCAACATTTATCTGTACCTTTAGATGAGGAGTGCTCAGCAGGAGGAGGAGTTCTCGCTCATCTTCCTGCAGCGGTCCATTCTGAAGCTCCTCTGCCAGCTGATGAGAAAAAATTTCATATTTTAGGGTCTATATGATGCCTTAAAAAGATTATTAAAAAGTGAGCTTTGTCCGATTGGATTTAATGTTTCCATACGACTGGAAGTTGAACATGCTGCACCTACATCTTCTGCCAGATAGGAGGCGCTGTGCAGGACTGGAGTGGGACTGTACTTCTCGTACTGCTTCAGCTTCTCGTGGATCTGAGATGTTCAACAAATTAAGAACATGTGAACACACAACTTGCAGAATCAGTGCTAATATTTGTTGTGTATAATAATAAATGTGAAAGTTTTATAATCACCATAGGCACTAAGAAAAAAACAAATACAGCTGCTAGATCTAATCAGAAACATCTGCCCTACCTTCATGAGGTAACTGATGCTTTTTTCACTGAAGACATCTCTGAGGAAGACTAGGTCCTCTTTGTGGTTGGCATCAGGGTGAAGCTGAGATGTGAGAAGGGCCAGAGTCTCATGCAGCCCTGTGTATCATAAAACACGTTTATTATAATCTACACTAGTTAATCATCTCAGCATCATTTTTCTACCATTTCACATCTCTAATGAAGACTTGCAGGATCATTTATTACTCCATTATAGATGATCAAACACACAATGCATCTATAAATCCACAAACCTGCCTTATGACCAAGTAGCTCGTGGACATGTTTCAATGTACCTGCACTTGCAGACACGATGGGCATGTTTAATCATTCAGAAGACGAGGAGACGAATCACATCTGCAGGTTCTCACAAAAGCTCCAGTTTTCTTCAGTTCCTCACGTGCAGATGAAGTTAGAAATCACAGACTTGAATAGAAACAGAAACAAATAATGTGAAGACACTAAAACACGCTTAAATCCACACACAACAACTTCTTCGATTTGTTCTTCCTGCAGGCAGTTTGAGGTTTAATGGGTGTTCGATCGCTACAATTACTGCTTATAGAAATAATGCAAGCTAAAAACTAAACCTCTTGTGTGACGCCAACAGGAGGAACAATGTTTCCATTCAAATACCACTGAAATGGAACCTCCCATATAATCGAGCATGTAATCTGCCGTGTCCTGACAGTGATCAATCGATTCATCACCGTGCTGAAGCTTCACTACGTACAAATTAAGAGCTGCTCGCTGTTGAGGCACGAAGCTTTCATTTCATTTCAAACTGTGTGCCGCACTGAAAAAAGCGAGGTCAGATAAAACCGAGCACTTTTGTCCAGAAACATACTTCAACTCGTCACCTTGGCAACGCTACGGTTGCACTTTTAAGTGAAAGCAGCCGTTCATAGGAATATTTTCTCCTAGTCTAAGAGTTTAGTGCGCTCCTGCAGCTTCAGGGTTTCTTTTAAACAGCATGCAGGATCCAGATGTATGCATGTTTATGGGGGGAGTGGTGGCGCAGAGGTTAGAGAAGGTGGGCCTGTGATCGGAAGATCGCCGGTTCAAGCCCCAGTACCCACATCAAAAATGTGGGTGGGGTAGGTGAAGCACCCACACCTGCCCCCACCCTCATTCGCCCCACCCTGGGCCCATGAGCAAGGCCCTTAACCCCCATCTGCTCCCTAAACAGGTCTCTCTTGAAAATGAGTTCTCGTGGCTCATTGAGACTACCTGGATAAATAAAGGGTAAATAAAATTAACAAATGCCTACAGAACAGTTGTGGTCAATTCGTTAATTATTTATAAATATTGATTTGTTTTCCGACTCCGAGATGGTTGCTGAAGTGTTACACAGAGCTCAACTTATTGTTGTTCAATTCTGAGCTTCAAACCTGCCAAACATTGTCACTTTACCGTTAAGCCAAATCCAGTTTGCCATTTTTGTTATTTGTAGAGATGCACGACATTGGATTTTTGGCTGATGTCAATATGCCAATATCTTTAAACTTAGTTGGCCAATAACAGATACCAATACTGATATTTTTTTCCCTAGACCTACTTACAGAGACTACATATCTTCTCTGCTGTGGAATTAAACTACTACATTATTCTTCATGGTCTTTGTCAATTTGACCCACTACCAAATGCAGATGCCAAAAATGGGAATGAAGATGTAACATTTCAACTTGGATTATGTTTAATGTCAAATTTATTCATGACATTTAATCTCTCTAGCACAATGACAACACTCGAACAGAGCAAATTTGTAAATTTCACAAATCTAATGTGAATGTTCCTGTAAAGTGCTGTAGATGAACATATGCATGAGATATATTCATAAATTAAACGGATTCTTTCATTTTTCTGGACCGTATATAATGTGCATTGAATTTAGAAATGTAACGTGAGACGTTAATTATCTTTGACTCACCAAACGACAGTGGGTCATTTATTAACAGAATCAAAGTTTAACACATCACACATTTACATTAATTGGCAAAATATGGAAAATAACAACATGGCTAATTTTAGCAAGCTGTACAATTTTGATTGACCACACGGCGGTGGAAGAGAACTTTACACAGACATTTCTAAAATATCTGGAATGATTTCTACCTGATAGAAGAATTTTAAAGATGGAAAGATGAAGTTTAGAGGGAGAAAAAGATGGGTGAGGGGGTTTGTTTGTGTCAGCATTCAGGACGGCACTCTCCGGGCTTTTCTCAGCTTCTTCCCCAGTACACTTAGGTGGTATAACTCGACTCTTTTACCTGGAGATGTCTCCACTGGTACGAAAGTCCATTCAACGCACCCTTTCAGCGTCTCCGTAGGAACAGCTGTGAATCGTCCGAAGTAGTGACGGTATTCCGTCCGACACAGGTTCACCTCACGAGTGGACTTCACATGAGTGGAGTCCGTCAGAGGTGGAAGATGTTATAATCCCATAAGACTCGGAAGAGCTCTGTGGTCATGTCAGGATCTTCCTGTTTCCCAGCACGGGAGCTGCAACGACTCCAACTCGACTCTCCACCCGACTGGAAACTCCACACGACTCTCGACACTGCTCGACACTCCTTTGAACTAGGAAGTACCGACATTTTAAAGAGCTCTATTTCCGGTTCATTTGGGAGTTTCTGATTGGTCAATATCGACCAGACAGGGGTGTGTTTTGTGACGCAAGAGGTCACTAGAAGTCAGAAAAACAGCAAGAATGTTATGGAACAGATTGAAAATGTTTTTAGACACAGAGAGAGAAATGTTTGGACGAGTTGGCGGAAAAACAGGTGCCAGCTTCTCTATTTACGTCTGAGAGGATGTAAAAACACGACAGCTCGTTCCAACAACTGGTCTGCGTTTGACTCCAACCTTGGACCACTTACACTGCTCATTCAAAGACAGAAAATCAGAAAATGCATAATTACTCTGTAACAGACCTTAACATGAATTCTAACTTTGCATGAGGATTTAAAAATCATTGTTACTGTTTTCACAGTTAATTAAAAATGATTAGTTCACTACAACATCTAAAATGGTTTGAACTAAAACACTTTGATTATCAAACATTTGTAAAACAGTAATGATAATAGAAAAGAGAGTGTTCTTTCACTTGAATTTTCAAGAAAGAAAGTCTCAGGATGGGTCAACCTGTATTTCTGGATTCAAATCAATGAAATGACAGCTTCTGTCCCATATGGTCCTTAAGGTCAAAGTTTTTGACATCAGGCCTAGTTCACTACAGTGCCCCGAGACAACTTTGTTGTGATTTGGCGCTAAATAAATAAACTGAATTGAATTGAATTAAACTCAACCTGTTCACAAGCAACAAGTGAAAAGTGCATAAGTAGCAGTGCATTAAAGGCTTCCGTTTTAGGGCATTTAATTTAAGAAACCATCAAGTATATCGGTGAGTTATTTTAATGAAATGGCCGATGTCTGATATTTAAATTTATCGCCAATATCGGTCGATATAGATACCGTGCCAATAATATCGTGCATCCCTAATTATTTGTTTTGTGGTACTTTAAAAATGTTATGCTTTTAAATTTTAATGTACATATTTCAGTGGTAATGATCGTGTTGTCATTGTTGGTTTTATCTCACCGAGCTGCTGGGAGATTAGTTGGCGACTCAAAACTGAGGAAAAACACAGTTTTGTTGTGGTCTCACTGAACTCTACCACCACGTGACCGACAACTGGTTTCAGCAAGTAGTTATTCAAAATCGTGGCCTTTTTTTGTTTGCATGATTAGCCACACAACATTATTAGCCGTGCCTATTATTTTATAATCCCGCTCCACCCACTTTGTTCCAACCTTGGTGTCCAATTCCAAGGACATTTGAGTTGGATGCTTTCGGTCAAAGGAGAGCTGTATCAAAATCCATCTCTAATGTTTGAGACAGATTGGAGACACCCACTGTAAAAATCAGGTGGGTTCCAGATGGCGTGGAGACGCACTCAATGGTTTTGTGGCCATTTTGGGGGAAAAAAGTCAAGACTGCGGGCCTTTGACTCACTTGAGGAAGTTAAACATTGAGAATGTAGCCAATTTTGGAGACACCCTCATAAATGTCATTCAAGTACTCACAGACCAGTGAGATGCCACCTTTACAGTCAACATTATGTTCTTTTGGAAACTTCAGCAAATGTGTCCTTTAACTGTACCAGCAATAATAATAATTAAATTTAAAACTATATAAACATATTCTCTTTCTGTATAAGTTTAAGGGAATTGGCATCTTATTTGTGAACACTACACTAAAAGGAAACAGTGCTTCAAATGCTACCACCTCCTGTTGAAATAAATTCACCTAAGACTTAGGAACCTGGTATTCATAAAGTAAATAATTTAAAGAAAAACTGTAAATTACTGCTTTAATTGTTTTGCCATTACTATGATGACTAAAGTCAATTTTATTTTAACTAAGCTCTGGTAAAATTAATGAGATTTGATGTAAATGAGAATATTTGGCTCACAAATATAATTTTTGCGGCAGCACGGTGGTGCAGCTGGTAGAGCGGCTGCCTCTCAGCGAGCAGGTCCCTGGTTCAAATCCCGGTTCGGGGGCCTTTCTGGATGGAGTTTGCATGTTCTCTCCGTGCATACGTGGGTTTTCTCCGGGTACTGCGGTTTCCTCCCACAGATTAAAAACATGCATGTTAGGCTGATTGGTGACTCTAAATTGTCTCTAGGTGTGAGTGAGAGAGTGAATGGCTGTTTGTCTCTATGTGTCCCTGTGATGGACTGGAGATCCGTCCAGGTGTACCCTGCCTCTCACACAGTGACTGCTGGACATGGGCACCAGTGACCTCCGCAACCCAAAAATAAAGAAGCGGGTAAAGATAATTGATGGATGATATATTTTTGCAGTTCGCATCTTTCATGGGGGTACTTAGAGCGATTCAGTAAGGTATAAATGAGTGTGACTGATACGCCTCTGCTAATTGGTGCCCTGGTTGCGTCTGATTTCTAAAAAGACTGAGCTGGTCATGGACAAAATGCTGAATCGGAGGCTTGAAAACACCAGTCTACAGAGTAAAAGGGTGACGTTGGGTGGGAATACGAGTGAAGAGTTTCTTAGCCACTTTTGATTGTGTTCATGACCATTTTTATCTCGAAACTCTTAGTCTCCAATCCAACTTGCTCTGTTTTCTAATTACAAAAGCTTAAACTCAACATCTCTCATTTATTTTATCTCCCTCCATCTCATTGAGTCAAGTTATTTAATGTTTCCACTGGCCATATGGTGTTTTTATCCAACCTTGTTGATTGAAGATGGCAGAGCCCAGAGATGTGAAAATCACTGAAACAATCAGGGACCACACAGAAAACTGAAGAAAGCTCTGCAGTGTAGCTTTGTGCAGCTTCAACAACCAATATGAGCTGCAGTGTGTTTTAACCAGCTCACTTTAACCTCAGTGTCTCATG